CTCCCTATAGAGAGTTATGACAACAGTGCTAAATTTGTGTTTCAGCAGAGACCAGAAAGACAGGTCTGCCCTGAAGACATGAAGTCTGTCTGGACATTACAGATTTACCATCCCTTTAAAATAGATATGAAACTGAATTCATGCTAGTGAGGGCCTGCCAAATTATGCCATTTTGTTAATCTGATTTAGTTTTACACGATAACTGTGGGATTAAATCAACATTTTGGCCCACTCAACAATGCAAATTACAAGTCTAGTACTTGATGATGATTTTTTGCAACAAAAACAGCGGTAATGAAATACTGGTCTTGTAATTTGTGTCTGGCAAGCAGTGGGTGCTATGTTTTATGACAAATTTGTGGAATTTTCACTTTGTTCTTAAACAAGAATATTCAATATACATTAAAATGACATCCTCATAAAAAAAGTTCCAACATCAAATGTACATACAGTATATGGCTCGGGATATGAGCTGCAGCACAATTATTAATGTGAATGCCTTTTGATGCTTTAATTAATAAAGCCACATGGAATATAAAGAATTTACCGGCGGTACAGCAGCAATAAACCAATAAAAGTGCTTCTTGAATAACTTGATATCTCTGCTAATGATACCACTGTAGGGGATTAAAGAAATAATACTGTCAGAGCAAAACCAAAAATGTAATAAAATTAGCTTTTATTGGTATCCATGTAAAGTAATCCATGATATACATCAGTTCAAACTTCAATTTGCATGAAATATGTATTTCAAAGAATCATAGTAATGAGTTTTATTTACTGAAAAAATAATTATAAATCATATTCCATTAAAAGCATATAACTTTGTACTGAAATTCCAAGAACACAGATGATTAAACTATAAAATATTTAACAGGACGACACTCAAAATATTTTGGCTAAGAGCATATGCCCCCAGTCAATTTTCTCATGTTTTCTACTCTGATGTGAAAAACTTCGATTGGGTAACCACATTTCCTGGAATATAGCTTATAAATGGTTCAGAGAAAAAAATGGATTAATTCATTCTTCATCCTTAATACTCATCGATAAAGTATCTTTTCTCATAGGGTCAAGGGGAGGGCGAAATAAATATTCCTTTAGGTAATTCTTCATTTAGCAAGATTAGGATATCTGGTTTGCATGGATTTAAACGACTATCATGCCTTACAAAAGGGCACAATCTTTTGTATCAGCTGCTTTCCTGCGTGCAGTATTTTCTACTTACTTGACTATAGATTGTGTGAAAAATTAAATGTTGTCATAAATGAAGCTAAAATTAAAATGTGGTTATGTTCAATACAACCAGTGATATGACCTTTCAAATATCATGTTATTACTGTACACAGTAAACCGTTTCTCTCTACCACTGCGCTCTTCCGATTCTGAGACTTTTCCATGATATACAAAAAAAGAATTAAAGAGCCAAGGATAGGATATTTCAATGTACTATAAAACTCCACCTTTATCATGTCTGCCAACAGAGCAAAGTAAGCCATGTAAATACAGTTCAGGGTCTTTACCTTTCAATCATGGTGCCATTCTGAATCATCCACACGTCACAATATGTTCGAGCAACAAGCATGACGGCAATAAGCAGCAGGTATCCTGACTGAAGCAAAAGAGTATAAAGTGATTATTGAATTTTGCCACACTCCTGCTCTTTCTGCACACATCCTTAAATGAGTGTAAAAACGTTTATTGTTAGGAGCAAAGCTAAGAAGGGCTAGGCTGAAAAACCCCTTCTAATTCATTTGATTGCTGTCCAATATCTGATGTTCACATTTAGTGCTCCAGTGCTTATCACAATGCTCCAATACTCAGCATATTGATCATTTACTGTCTCAAAATGCCAGAGCAGTTTTTAATTCTTCAAATTCTAAATTACCAACATTTTTTATGATTAACAGAAAAAATGACTGACATGTAACGCTATGTAGGCTGTAAGAAATCCCAAGATCTAAGATCAGTCATAATTTATTAGGCTTTGACCCTGTACTTATCAGTGTTTAAACAACGCAGAGAAGTGCAAGATTAGTGTTACACTGTCATTTTAGAGTGCTCTACAGTACAGTTTATCTTACTATATACATAGGTACATATTTTACTATGTACTGTATGCTTTGTAAAACTTATGAGGAGGTCAAAAAATGAGCAGAATGTTCTCAGAAAATAACTTCTCTTACAGAATTTTGATGGTCAGTTGGAGACATAAAAGCACTGGGCTGCTGCTCTTTAACATCTCATAACAACCATGTTGACTTAAGCAATTTTACAAAATGACAAGTGTTCTCTCTAAGACACTGTAAGTCCATATTTGTTATAAATATTCACAGCCACTGCATCCCTGAATACAAAAGTAAGTATACTGTATAAGC